TTCGTGCTAATACTTTATGGCATAGTAATAAAACGGGAGCCATTCCCATACAATTCAAATATTTAAAGTGAAATTATTTAACTTATCATTGAATCTACAGTAGCAGATAACACTATATAATTGCTGATATATGGTATGTATATCTGTACTTTTTTAAAAACGGTGCCTAAAAATGTAGATGACTGTTATGAATACGTAATGGACAATATAAAAAAATCAAAGTTCAAGTGATTCTAAATATGAGCTAATTTGGACAAAAATTTCTTAATTCATAATCTAACTTATTTTAACTGACGCACACCGTAGTACAAGAACAACTCATCTAGAAAATTTGCAATGATATTATATATATAAAATATGTATCTCAAAAAAAAATTAATATTTTAAACATTTCGTGATGTTAATATAATTAATTTTATTAAGAGGCAGAATCTGTTTTAGTATTTACAATTGCTTAGAATTTAATCGATATTATTGAACATATAATTTTTGATTATTTTTTTATAATTTAATAACAACATAGGTTTATTTCTAAAAAGTATATAAAAGATGTACAAAAGATCATATTTTTCATAGTCTAAAAACTTCGAAAAACGGAGTGTTATAATAATAACTTACAGTATAATTGATCGAATGGTACTGACTATAATATTAAAATCGTGAAGAAACAAAATTTTGGTAGGAAGAAACAAAAATATTAGCTTTAAGTTTGCTGGGCTTTGAAATCCTATTAGGTTTAAGATCCTTAATCTATCAGTAAAACTTTTTGTAATAATGTTTAGTATAAATTTAGTAAATCGATAAATATGTCAACTTGGTGAAATATTTTACTATACTATAATATACTATATATATTTTACTATAACTGAATAATATGATATATTTTATCAATACATAACTATACATAGCTATAAAATTGAATTTCAAGAAAATTTACAAGCTTAATATAGTTTAGTATCTTATGCTAGAAGTTATATCTGTAGTTTTCAAAATACAGTTTATTTAAAAATTGATCAGGTTCTAGTAATGATTATACTACATTGTTGTTGTTGTAATCCATTGCAAGACCGCATCAATCCCAGGATGATCAACAAGTTGTAATAATTGAGTGTGTAGAGTAATAAATAAAAAGACAACCACAACTTTCAGCAAGTGATTATGTGTAATTTAGATTAAAACAGTTTTTGCTGTTTTAAACTCTAACTTCATTTCCTGAAAGATATTAGTCAGCGAGCTGTCAAACATATATCTGCTTTGAAAATGCAGTCTCGAAAAAGGTGGCACATAAGTATGTTTTATATACGAAAATTCTTTGTCAATATTTGATGTTAGAAATAAGTTTTTTACAATAACTCATAAAGTGTTAAGATAACGAATATAGACAATTTGTGAACTGTATGAGACTTTACTATATCTGTATGGTAATTGTGTGTATCACACAGATTAGAGACGATCGAAACTCGTAATACATGAATTTAGAAACAATTAGATGTCACACACATTACGATATATTATAGTTTGTGATTTGTAATGCGTTACTATGACTCTTCCATCGACCAACAACATAGCAATGTAGATGACGGACTGTTCAAAACATTAATCAGAAAGTTAGGTATAGAAGTTATGAGGATTCACTGAAGTGCGCTGTGAAAAGTCAATATCTTTTTAGAAGAGCTTGAAAATAGAGATGTTTTGATACGAAAAGTTGTAGCTATAAATGAAGATGATGAAATTGAATGGATTGAATGGAGAAAGGGGAGACATATCTGTCTTCAAAGAATTTACTCAATTAGGTGAGTAAGCAATTATATTACTTATAAAGAGCGTTGTTTAAAATAATAAACAAAAGCTAATAGGTTCATATAAATTCATTTCTACATATAGAATTAATAATCTTGTAATGATATACAGTAAATAAATAGAAATGTATGTAACATTTTAAAAAAAAATTGTATTTGTTTATACTTTTTTAAATTAAATATTAACAATAGTGAGCAAAGTACGCTAAAATACGACATTTATGAACTTGATGCCCTATCCTCACCCTTTAAAGCTTTTAAAATAATAAACATTTTTAATTTATTTTGTTTAGTGAATTAGGAACTGGAATTTGTGCCTCTTTAAGTAAAAGAAAAAATAAGTAAAAAAATATCTTTCGCTTTATCGACACTTTAATACCCTTCATAAAGAATTATTAAATATGTAATAACAAAAATCTGTTAGTTTATATTGTTTATATTTCAATATTTAGTTTAATATTTATTTTATAAAAGAAAAATTTTTAAATTTTTCAAAATCATTACAGTTAAATAACTGAAGACCTAATCATATGCCAGAGAAAAATATTTGAACTGATGTGGGATTGATTCAGAACAGACATGATTGACTTTAAGTACTTTGTGGTATAATCAGTTTAAACTACCTAAATGGTTCAGGTAAACTGAAAAATCTTCCTCGATAATGTATCATGTTATTAACATTAATATACAATTCTATTCTTAGATTAGATCACTTTCCAAGCCAATGGAAATGTGCAGAGATCCATATGATTCCTAAACTAAACAAATCTGAAAATTAATTAACGTCATACTGTCTTTTGGTAGCTTTCTCGAAAGTATTCGAAAAAATATTTTTTCGAAGACTGCTGCGCTGAATATGATGTCGGAACATCATTTTTGATGTTCATGGTCATGTCACACCTAAACAATGTCATCGCATAGTCCATATAATGTATTGGTTACTTGGAAAAAATTCTCAACTCAGCTTTAGAGAACAAAGTAAGACTGTACAAGCCCATTCTTAAATCGATCTGGACATATGCAATTTAGCTGTGGAGTACAACCAGCAATTCTAACATTGATATATTATAAAGATTCCAGTCAATCACTTTACGAACGATTAAAGATGCGCCTTGGAATGTGACAAACGATCTACTACACAAAGACTTACAGATTGCTTGGATAAGAGACGAAATAAAAACGTTAAGTTGCAAGTACATTAATAGACTTGAAGTTCACTCAAATATTCTTGCCTTGTCTCTGTTAGACAGCAGTGGAACAATAAGATGTATGAGAAGAAATCATAGGAATTTTGTATATAGACTATATTAAGATTATATGATAGGGAGTTATTAGATAATCGATAAGTACTATAAACTAAAAATTGTATTATATGTAATTAACCTCTATGTATTATAAGTTAGTAGTAGGACAGTGATTAGATCTTAAATGATAAGTATGCAATAGTTAATTTCACTGGAAGTTAATTGTTGCTGTTATGTAGTATAAGTATTAATTATATTTAGATAATGTTGTTTTCTAGCATAGTTATTCAACTCACTGTGACTCTATAATAAACCGCTAGAAGACTAATTTCTCTATGGCTTACCTTTAAGAGATTGCTACCTTTTTTCTTTTTTAAAAGAAACCATATGCATATTGTTGTATCATCTTCCCATCTTGTGTTAATACCATTGGCAGAAGATTTTGTGTATATAATTTATTTACATGGTGAAATTTAGTCCCCATCTCGGGATTAAACTTAAATGGGAATTTTTATGACATTTTTTATGATGTAAACGACAACCAGTTAGTGTTTGATAGAAGCATTGGAATAAGGAAATAATATCAGAAGAAGAACAGGAAAATATCAATAGCTTTTATGGTGTTTTGTAATACTGAAGAAGCATAAAAAATAAAAACACAATCTCTATTTAAAACTGATTTTTATAAATCACATGGGAAATCTCAAGCTATACCAGCAGTGTAAATAGTACGAAGAGGCTGCAACAGTCACTTATATTTTCATTATAATAATTATAGTCTCCATAAGTCAATGTCTTTTAAGAACCAATGTGAAATTAAGCCTTATTAGTAAAGATATGTTTGACATCGGATACTTTAGATGTAGACTTTTAATGCTTTTAGGACAAGTCAATCCATATCCTTCAAATATCTGTTATAACATGGCTGAAGATTCAGAAATAAAACTAAATTGTGTTTTGACAAGAGTTCGGTTTTGGCAGCAAGCCTTTGTCGGTCCTGTTAATGTTAATAACAGAATTCTGTTAAATCAAGGTTAATATTTTAAAGTGATCACGTCCAAAGTTTGACTTGACTGATGGCGTATTTTAAATTTGATTAATAAATGCGTTAGACATTGATTTGATTTGATTTGCAATGGTAGTCTGTTAACAAAAATTATTAGTATTTTTATTACCAATTATAATGGATATAAAAGCAAATTTAACATGTGTATTTTGAAATACTTTTTCACTCGAAATATGTTTTTTGTTTTATGTTTTTGTAGATAAATATCTCTGTCAAATGCAACAGTTGCTTTACTCACAACTGAAACCTTTTTGCTAAAATTCTTAATGCTTGTCTAATAAGAAAATAGAGATTATCTTAAAAGAAGTTTTTGTTACGTTAACAACAAAAACAAGTCTTAGTGGTCATACAACAACAAATTTTGGGTTATCCGCTGTGAATTGAAGTATATGCGCAAATAGCTCTGTGTTATTGTTGTTATTATTGTTGTTGTGTTGCATTAACTGTTGGCTACACCAACAAAATATATGAAATCATACTGAATAAAATAAATGTGATTGAGCTCAAATGTTTGCATGAATTGCACAGCTTTTGCTAAATTTATGAAATTCATAATGAGGAAATCTACATGTCTTTTGGTTTCTATAAATTTAGTTAGAAAAAGTCATATATTTTATTTACTTTTTGTATTCAAAAAAAAAAAAAATTGAATGTATGAATTTCAAATAAGAAATATTCTAGTGGGTCTCAGTGATGGCTCGATGGTTTCACCAAACAATGTACAAAAGCAATGTAGTGTTTTGCAATAAACATAAATTGAATAATATGATGTCTTTAGACTTATTTAAATAAAATAACTAATTAACAAATTTAAATATAATACAAAATACAAAAAAAAATAAAAATATCAAAGATATAATAATAACTGTTATGATAACATATTTAATTTACCTTTCTCAAACTGTAGTAAACAACATAAAAAAGGGTTAATGCAAATAATTGACGTAAGGCTACACAAAACTGTTTATTTGTTTTATATTTAAAATATATTTTTGATCACTTTTTGAGCGATGACCTTTTATGTTATACTTTTTATGCTATGTTTATTTTATTTATTTTTACTTCTCTTTATTTACTTATTTTATTAAATAAAATTCTAATTGACATTCATGTATTTTCACATATTAGTTTTCCTTTGCGATAGAAACATGCATTTTTGTTAATCACTTTGTAATTAATATAAACAATTTTATATGCAAAGCAATTTTTAACATCGTATTTCCGCAGAGAAACTATTAGTTTTAATATTTTCACATTTTTATTTGTTTGAAGTCGATTTTCACACCATCTACTCTTGCACTTTTCGCCACTACTCACTTACTATTCTTCTTTCACTTCGTTCGCAATTATAACTGAAGCCTTAAAACAGAAACAACAAAACACTACATTAATTTCGAGAGCAGTAACTAATGTGACTTGTCAGCACGTTTGACAGATTGAATGTCATAATGTGCTTCACTCAACAAACAGATCGTCATACATTTTACAATATTTTCCTAAAATATTTTAAAATATATTAATAACCAAATGTATTTATAAAAATTAATATAATTTTTATGTTATTTTCAAGTTTGTAAATTTTCTAGAAAAAAATTAATGTTAATGTACATAATGTTATAGTGTTTTCGATTGGTAAATCTAGATTTACACTAGATCTGTCAAATTTTCTTGCTCTAATCGACCATTTTTAGAGTAATCTAAAATTTGTGTAGTTGCATTTGTTAATAAATCAATTGAATTAAAATTTTCACATTAACTTCTTTTTCTGTGTATAACTAATACAACATTCACCACAAAATATTCAACACTTTTTTTTCCGTTTTTGCAAATAGTACCAAATTGAAAAATAAATTCTTATCTGCATTTGCAGCTAAATTTGCTATTATTTTGATTTTATACCTTTTTTCAAAACGCTAGATAGACAGCTAGATAGATAAACAAACAAATTGAAGACATATGAAAATAAATCACACTTTTTTATCTGTCAAATCATATAAAACACCTATTAATATCAGGGTAATCTTCATACTCTAACAAAACCTAGAGTCTAGAGTGAGTGTTATCTAGAGTGATTATCTAGAGTGTTATAAATTAATCTCGACTGTTATACAATAATCTTGAGTGTTATATAGACTTGCAAGCAAAAATAAAAATCACACTACAAGTGAATCTCGATTAAAAAACTTACCCCAAATTTAGCAATTGAAAACACCATTAAAAACGTTCAACTTTCTTTTACTTCATGCATAGCATTTTAAAAACTTTTTGTAACACATTTGCTAATTCTAATTTAAGTTGTATATTGTATATCATCAATATATATATATATATATAATCTCTTGTTTTTATAAAATTTCAACATTACCGAGATAATTACCGGTTTTGTAATTTATTCGGTACTCCATAAAACATCAGCTGATTATTATTGTGAAGTGTTGCACTAAATTTAAATTTGAAAAAGCTATAAATAAACAAATTCACATTTATTTAAGTTTTGCTTTTTCATGTTTTGTTGACATTTCGTTGATTGTGGTAAACAAAAACAATTTCACAAATTTGTCACAAAAAACTTAGAAAATCCATCAAATGGTTGTCATTTAATCAACTAATCGATTATTGAGCTACTTTTGAGTACCATGTACCATTAACATATTACAGTCCATTTACGCTACCGAAAGTCACAATGTGAGACTTGGATAAATTTCAGCCATTGAATTATAAAAAGGTTAAAATAAATATGAAGTTTTCAACTTAAACTGAATATACATATATAATATTGAATTTTAAGAAATATTAAAATTATATATAATTTGCCATTAAAGTTTGTAGGAATAACTTAAAAGACTATAAATTTTATAATTTATAAATGCCTTGAGTTTTAAATAATACATAAAATTTATCTTACCGACTTGTAATTGTAATAAAAATTATATATACTTTAGAATTTGACTGCAGTGGTTTAATATCGCGCAATAAATATTTGCAGGTGTAAGCAGGGTATGGCTGAAACTTTTAAAGAAATCCATAACAGCGGAATCGAATTTAAATGTAATATTTCAATAAATTAACATATATGCAAATTTAGTTGAAGGAATGGATTTGTTGTAAATAGTATTACTTAATATGTTTAAATTTTAGTTTTTAATATTGTCTTCGTTATGCTATAACTAAACAGCTGTTTTCGAAATATCGGCGAAATAATTTCGTTTCTATTTAAAATTGAGAATGCTAACAAAAAATAATAATATACATATCTAAAGTTATCTTGAAATTAAATTTAATAATCAAAAAACAAAACAGAGTTCAATAAAGCATATGGAAAATTAGCTATTATTATTTAATGTACTGATCATAAATAATTATGTTATTTAAAAAACTGTAAAACAGAAACTTGCAAAAAAAATTAAAAATAAATAAAACTAATTTTTATCTTTATTTTATTATTAATTTTTTATACAACACATAATGCGAAGAATGAGTAATTCTTTTCAGTACAGTAGTATAAAGCAGCAATCTTCTCATCTTCATATGAATCAGCTAAATCAGGAAAATATATACCAGGTGTGTCTTCTAACATAACTAAGAGCTGGTGCCAGTGAAGACAAGGTAATGTATTAGTTCGACATATACATGATTTTGTCCGTCTGACATAAAACTGCAAAACACACACAAGTTGCGTCCATCGAAAAATAGTGCCTTCGTTTTATCATTCAGTGATCATGTTGGATTTTTTGCCTGAAAAAGAACATTTGCGGTACGTATTGCTTTTTTTATTTAATCAAAAGAAAAAGAAGGCTGAAAGTCATTGTTTGCTAGTAGAAACATACGGTGAGCACGGTTCATCGACAAGAATATCTAAGAAATGGTTTCGACAATTTAAAAGTAGTGATTTCTATGTGACAGATAGTGAGCGCTCTGGTAGACCACAAAAAAGTGAAGACGAGCAATTGTAGGAGTTGTTGGATGATAAGCCAACTCAAACTCAACAGCAATTGGTAAAAGCATTAAATATGTCACAAAAAATAAACAGCAGACGTTTACAAGCAATGGGGAAGATTAATAAGCTGGGTAGGTGAATGGCTAAATGAGTAATACCCATATTGTCTGAATGACATATTCTTTACGAATTATTGCAATGATTTTAAGTTTTAAAATTAGTTATCAAGTTTTAAAATTATTTATTAAGCTATATCTAAACTTCAAAGTAGGTTTATGTTTATTTAAGAAAAAATTCTTTTGTACTGCATTTACATATATTAATATTAGCCCGCTGAAAAATATATAAATAAAATTTGCTCATTAAAACAATAAAAGACGTTTGTTAGAAAAATATAAAATGTCAAAGCACTTGGGTACTAAATAATTATAACACAATTAAGTTGTCAATTAATTATATTACAGCATATCCACTTATTTGTGCTTTTCGCGATCAGTAAATTGCTAGTAGCGATTCTCAGATAATATCGATTTAATATAATAATTAATAATTTCGCCGTATATCTTTTTTTATGTTTTTAGGTATCGCCATTGTGAACATACAAATGATTTCCATTTGTACTATAATTTAAATAACTAATATATCATTGGTTAAAGATGATCGCATCGAATCATTTTTGATGTGTTTATTTCAGTATCAGCGACGAGTCTCAAATGTTCAGTTTCAAACTGAAACTATGTTAATACATATATATATATTCAATGGAATATTTTAAAATAATCTTCCGTAATACTTTTTATACAAGTTTGCTTAGCAGTATTATTGTTTACTTGTAAATAAAAATTTAATAAATATAACTAATGCAAAATTATTTCATTACTGCACATAAAAACTTTATGCTGACTTGAGCTTCGTTGAATTCATTGATGAATTGTTTGACTAACATAACGTTTATAAATTTATCGTAGCCGAAAGAAGTTTGCTTCGATTTAATGAAAGCTACGAGTATGTATCATTTAAAAATCTAGTTTAAATCTATAGTTAGTTTTATGTACAATATAGATGCTAACACTATCAGTGTGTAGTTATAATACAAGCATTAATAAAAAAAATTATAACAATTGGTTTACAAAAATCTACAGACTCCACTGCACTTATTGCAGCGAGACAGGCCCTCCCTTTTTAACGCTATCTCTAAATTGTTTTCGTTTGTCGGTTGCTTTAAAATATTATAAAATAAACTTATATATGGAATATATTTAATACATCTTGGATTTGACACTGGTAGCTGTGGTAACACAAGGAAATAATAAGCTCTTTTTGTTTCTATTGGGCACAAGTAGTCTCAAAACTTATTCCTTTGCAGAAAATAACATAGTTTTGTTTAAAATTTAATAAGCCATCACTTCCTTGATATATAGGTACTTGAAAGCTCCCTCTGCAATAAGCTTAGTTATTTTCCCCAAAGTTAACAATTCTTAACTGTTGAGATGAGATTATGTTTTTCAAATCAAATATTAGAGTTAACACCTTAAACAGTGGAACTTCCTTCAACACTTGCGTGAATTCTTAAACATACACTTTATAGAATATCTTCAAATTACAGGAACTTATTACACAGATACTGTTGAAATATTCCTATACCACTCTTTCATCAATATTCATTTTTAAGAAAATATCTATGTTTCAATGCGTTATTTCAGATTACACTAGCCGCCGTATTTACAAAACTTCCTATTAGTTTCCAACGTTTACACTGAATAATGGCTATTTTGTTTGTTGTTTACCAATTCAATTAATATTGAGATTTAATTGTCCAACAAAGAACACAGATTTAATTTTGTTATTAAAAATTGGTGACTTTATTCAACATATTACAAGTTTAGAAGTTCCTAAAACAGAAAAAATATACATTTAATAACCACAACAAATAAAATAAATAATATATTCAAACTCACTTAGTGATAAGACCATCCTTCTTAGCGAGACGGACAATACAATCATCAGATTCTCCCATACGACGAATTTCACCGCAGATTGCGTATTTCTTGGCACCATCGGTCATACGGCCAGTATCTGGATCAACTTCAACAATGTTCAATTGCACAGAGGCATGATCTTTAGCGTGTATGATTCTGTTTGATGCAGAGCTAAATTAAACAAAATAAAATAAATTAATTTATAATACAAAATTCACATACAAGCCGTGCAAAATAGCGCTTTTTCGCCAATGACAACAGCGGCGAAACACTATTCACCACGTGTTTTGCACTTACCATTTTCTTGGGTGGTATAAATCAACTGATTCGCCAGCGTCGTTCTCCATTTTTATGAACTAAAATATAAAATTCATTTTTTAATATGATTTCAAAATAACAAATTTGAAAAACAAATTATTTTTACCGAAATTAACTTACATTAATATGAAATTATAAGCTCAAGTCACTCGTCAACGGAGGCGCAAGGTAAAAAGAAAGAGAAAAAAATCGCTTGCTTTGACATAAGTTAAGTTGGTTGCATTTTGGCAGTGTTGAAATTTAGGAAATGTCATATTGTGTTAAAGGGTGTTTTTTATTCAAGAAAAATTTATAATTTTGTTGCTAAATTAAATAAATTTACTTAATTTAATTTACAGTTAAATGTTATCATATATATATACAACTATAAAAAATTTTTTACTGCTCTTAAAAAATACTCATTTATAGAATTAAGTTTTGATTGCAATAATGCCGTATATCAATTTTTAGTGTGGTGAATTTTATTGATATTGATTTTATCAAATAGATATAATTCATTTATTTTAACACATATATTTAAAACACATATTTTAACACATATATTTAAAATATTGTGTATTTCTGAAGTTTAACTAATTGAGAATTCTATATCTAGTAACAGTATAATCATGTGCACTCCATTTTCATGATTTTTAAACCTGATCTTATAAAATTTACTAAGATTACAGATTGCATATAAGTTTCGTATCGAACATATTCGGTGAGATGATCGTCCAATCTATTTCATTTCTGTAACACCTAATGTGTTTGTGACAATTCTAATTGGAAACTGAAAATCTAATTGGTCACCTTATTATAATAGGTTATTGCCACCTTCAACGAACAGCTACTCCATCACAATACACAATTGAACATAATTAGTAAAATGAGTACTCAGCGTACTAGGTATATCCGTTTTGCTAGAAAAGACTAAAAAAATAATATAAACAAAATCTGGTACATATCAGTAAAAGATTGGAAGGACTAACTCCTAAGAATACAATATTAGAGAACATTTGGAGCAGCAATGATTTTCTGTAGACTAATATTAGATGATCTTAAGTGAGCTATTAAAAACATTACAAAATATTTAAATAAATAATGAAATATTTTTGTAAAACAAAATGATAAATATATAAAAAAGAGTAATGACAGTGATAAGAAGGCTTTAATTTAATAATACAAAAAATTCAAATTAATTATGTCTGTCCACACAGGCTGCTGGTCATTATTACATACTAAACAGTTGATTATACATGTACATAGTATTAGCTTTATTTTACTTCATTTTAAATTTGTTGTATTACACAGAAATTTACAACAATTATATTATGGGCGTGTAAATTGATACTAAATTGAGCGAAATACTAAATTATGTCGGTATGGCACCGTATGTTGGTATTTACCAGAATTTTAAGTAGGATAAATAAGATAAGAAGATAAGAAGAATTAGGTGTTACCATTGCAAAAATATTATTAAATGTTTAATAAATAAATAAATAAATTTTGAAAACTTTAAACCAAAAATAATATATAAGTACAATAAATATAAATATACATAAGTGTAGTGCAAATTATCCCTAGGAAATTTTAATTTACTTTACTTCAATTTACTCGAACTCGCACACGGCCTATATAAATAAAGCTTACAGCTATGGCATTTTAACCATCTGCCAAATAAATATATAAGCATATGTATTATTTCGATATGACGTATAAATCAATCATTTAACAATTTATTGATCTATCGAAATAATAATTTGTGTTATAGTGCATTATATTAATAAGTTCTCTTGAAGTGATATTGCAATTAATGAATTTCATGTGACATTTAAATACAATTTTTAAACTTAACAGGATTTTCGCAGTTTTTTTTTCTCAGAGTTGTTCAAGAATCACTGATAAAGTGGCACCTTTACGATGTATATCTTACCATATGTCAACAATAGGTATTTCACATATATGTAGATCTGTTATAATTTGTAATGTTTTCATTTATTGTTATTTACCATACATTTGCGTTGCAAAAATAGTTTTGAATACATTTCATGTAAATAAGATAATGATGGCCTAAAAAGAAATGAAGCAAAAAAAAGGATATAAATATGACCGAAGTGCTAACAAAATTTATAACATACCAAATTGCGTCATCTCAACGAAGTGTCATTGAATTTCGTCACAGGAGATAAAATGTGAATACTAAATCTTATACAATCTTATATGCAAGTAAATATTTATTTTATTTAAAAAATAAAACAATTTTTGCATTGTTCAAAAATAATTATAAATTTTTATTGACAAAATAATTATAGTTAAAATTTAAGTGAATAATTTTAAAACGTAGACTCATGTGACGTCATAAGTGACTGCGAGTACATAAAACACCGGATGGTACAATTTCATTTTTATTATTCTTGCAAGAAATCTTATTAGATATTAGGTCTGTTCCACGAGCTACTCATAGTAAAACATGAGTAAAACAGAAGTAAAATTTACACAAAAATACTTGAAAATTTGCTGGTGGAACGCGCTTGTGTATACACAGTGTTTACTCAAAGTTACTATGAGTAGCTCGTGAAACAGACACAGACCTATTATTTTTATATTTTCTTAGTTGTTTTAAGAATTAGCTGTCACTCACATTACCTGCAGTTTGGTTTTGGAACCGGTTTCTGAAAGGCGGGAAAGGAGAGTGTTTATTTGGCGCAAGTAAAAAGTAAAGTAACACACATATAAAGATAAACAAACACATAAACGTTTTTTTTTTTAAATAATTATATTAATTAATTTTAATTATAGTGAGAGAAGCAATTGGACGAGAAAAGAAACGAGCTTCCTATGGAAGCCGTAAAAAATCAATTTGAGAATCGGCATAAGAAAAAACAAAATGCATCACATCTTGCTTGACTTGGAGTCACTAGAGGTTTTGGTAAGTAATCACTTTATGTGAATAATTTTTTAACAGTTAAATGTAAACTCCTACATCTTTAATTTAAATGGTAGTTCCCTAACAGCATTGGCTATAGATGGTTAGTAGCAGAATTTATGTACATTTGCACCTTTTAAACATTTTGCGATATGTGTTAAAATGGCTTTAATCTATGTTACTGAATTGAATGAAAGAATATATCTTATTTGGTGTTTTAGTTGTTTATTGTTCTGATCAAATCCTACAACCTTGCATTTGGAATTGGTGTTTAAAAGTAAAATGAAGGAGTCAGTTGGGCTATCATTTAATGATTTCAATAATGTCTGCTATTTTAATATATTTAGTAAAGGACTTAAATTATTTTTTTAGGTAAGCTATATTTAATACTTTTTCGCCAAATTGTACACATAATTCAAAACAAGATTTTGTAAACAAAGTCAGCTGACATATATGAAGTATTGCCAACTACCTCAATTTGTGATACGGGGCGTTTCAAATGTCGTTGGCAATGCGACTTTTTCTTATGCTAACATAGAGTAGCAATATAAGACAGGCAACAAATTTTAACATGACATCGTTGGCAAGATAGACAAATATTATTTCTTTACTTTATTTTTATATTATCTATACTGTTTCTGTAACGCAGATTAAGATTATCGATTGCTAAAGTACAACTATTATTCGAAGAAGAAGACACGCTTCTGAGAAGACGCGATAAATATTAATGGACGCTGGACCATTAGGTTGTTTGTACTTTGGTTTTTACATCACGCCGAATGACGTTGCGTTGGTTAATGCGTTCGTCACATATATATTTAAATTTATCAAACTAAATGCTGTTTTCTTATCTTCAGCGAAACGTCATGTCATATGAATGACTTTATTATGTTATTTATATTTTTAATTTATTTTATATATGTTTTTTTTTTTATTATTTAATTTATTTAACTCAGTACAACAAATCAGGTGGTAGTTTGACAGTTACATTTCGCGCACAGAACTTCTTAAACGCAGAGTGAAATTCATAATCATTGTGTGAATGCACCAAATGTCGACAAAAACGCGTATAAATTTTCTATAGTTTATGTATGACCAAATCTAATATAAAAGTACATAATTTCAAATAAATTTCACATATTGTACATACGAAGATAAGTAGGATATACGTCCATATATATATCTAAATATCCTACTTATCACAATTTTATTATTGACATATATATCTATTTAAAGAAAAAATTAATTTTATTTTCTAAAGAAAAAAAAAATTATTTTATTTTCTAAAGAAAAAAAAATTATTTTATTTTCTAAAGAAAAAAAAATTATTTTATTTTCTAAAGAAAAAAAATTATTTTATTTTCTAAAGAAAAAAAATTATTTTATTTTCTAAAGAAAAAAAAGTTATTTTCTTTTCTAAAGAAAAAAAAATTATTTTATTTTCTAAAGAAAAAAAAAATTATTTTATTTTCTAAATAAAAAAAAAATTATTTTATTTTCTAAATAAAAAAAAAATTATTTTATTTTCTAAATAAAAAAAAAATTATTTTATTTTCTAAAGAAAAAAAAAATTATTTTATTTTCTAAAGAAAAAAAAATTATTTTATTTTCTAAAGAAAAAAAATTTTATTTTCTAAAGAAAAAAAAAATTTTACTGCGCAAGACATGCATTATCTCTCAGCTGTCAAAAACGCAGTTTCGTTGAGAGTTTTACGTATATATTGAGCCTCTGGTGTCAAGTAGTTTACACTGCTGTCAACAAATATTGCGTTGTGCTGTCAGTGCAAATTTTTAATGCAACGGAATGGCAAATTGTAGGAGTGAGTTTAGTGTAAAATAAATTTATAAATTTCAATCGTAGTATTAATATTTGAATTTATTTAATAATTGTTGTAATTAAAAATGTAAGTAAAAATTTTATATTCATATACTGAAATGTTGTTATGCCTAAAATTATGTTGCGATTTTAATTATTATTGTGCAAACGCTTGCATTCAAAATTTCATATAACAACTATCTATTGTCTTTTAATCAACTTTATCAATTTTAACATACAACATTTTGCCGATAACCACCTAAAAATAATAAAATATTAATAATTTTCATGGAATCTATTTTTTTTTGTTTTGATACTAAAAAAAGCAAAACAAAAATATTGATTTTAATTATTCTTTTACTCAACCAAACGCATACATAAATTCGTTGAACTTCGCAACTCTATTCACGCATTAGCATAAAGCTGTCAGTAAAATGAAGTTCCTTCCTCACTTCCCCAATATTTTCTTTTCCTTAGATGTTACCACGATTTTCAAAACAAACTTACTGCACTGTTACTTCCTAGTTTGTTGTTGTTTTGTTAACACTGATATAGCTCACGTGTATGTAAGGACTACTAGGTCGATTAATTTTCTGGTGATGTGTTTACGGTTTGATTGTTCAGAATTATTTTGGTATGAGATGTAAAAATTAATTTAAAATTATTTATTATGTAAAAAAAATTAAAAGAAAACTAAAAAAGATATTTTTTGGGTGAAATAATTTCAAAGAAGATATTGTAAAGCTTAAATCTTTTTTATCTTGAGCTTTACTTCTTGGCGTTGTCAGAAAATAATCGGGTCTTATAGATGAATATCATAATTGACGACTTTATTAAGCAAACTCTTTTAAAGCCCTTCCTTTTAGTGATTGAACTTGCATTAGTTCTCTTTGAGTCGTCTAATGAATTCAAGGAAATATTTATTGAGGATATTTCTTAGTATAAATGAAAGACGAATGGGTAAAAGAAAGTAGCTCACTTTAGAAGCATATTAAGGGAGAGAAATGTGATTTTTTTGCAGAGTTTTCTTTAAAACTAACCATTAAGCTTAGCTTAGAGAGGTTCTACTCTAAAAAAGCCGAAACTTCTATCTGTCATGAACATATAACAAAAAACGATTATATATAAATACCAAAAAAGATTTTAGCTGAATCAGTCCATAAAGGAAGAAAAAGGTTTGTTTCGTGGTTTACTTCGGCTAACTCTTCACTTCAGTAGGGTCATTTGTTGGACGGTGCGGTGTTTCAACGTCCCACAATATATATAATGAGTCAGAGCACAAAAAAGGTTAGGGAATATTCTGTTAAAGCTTTTATGAATAAGGGTCATAAGGTCTATTATAAGATTTTTATTTTTTGGAAATTGTCGATCTGGGCTAATAAGAAAAAGTAACTTCTTTCGTACATATGATTTGTTTTATCTTCTAGATTTATGATACTTTGAAAGAAGATTTCATATAGATAAGTCCCTATAACTGTTATAGAATAGTAATTGGTGTATTGAGTTTAGATTTGTAAGTTCCATGAAGGTATAGTTGTTATATTAAGTTAATCTTTTGCTATCAATATTTTATTATTTTTGATAAAATAATTATCTGTAAGAAAATAAAGTCTCTTGTCTACTGTAAAATTGTCAATAGATAAACACTATAAGTTGCCGATTTTGTAAACTTATTTTCTTTTTGGAAAATGTTTTTGATCAAGCTGCAGAGAACTAGCTTGATCAAAAAATAAATTAACAATAAAATATCTATTTTAATTATTAACAATTTTTATATTGAACTCTTTCTCTTATTGTAATTTCAAAATATCTAAAGTTTAGTTGTCAGTCTAGTTTTTGGATAAAAAGAATATATATAGGCAATTTGCTGATTGGAAATGTAATGCTTGATTGCACTACACTTGGTCTGGTCAGTAAAATGAGTTCGATCATTCTAATTTGGGACATTTTCTTGTCTAGTTCGACCTTTTAAACCTAATTAGACCTAAATTATATTAAAATTTATTCAGAGACGGAACTTACACTTCGCTTCGGCACCTATCGAAGTTTTTATTGTACATTAGTTCATATTATTATTATTTTTATAATATTCTGAATTAATTTAATTTGATTTACTTTTTTCATATTTGCCAGCTGATTCAATTGTTTTTTAATTAGTAAATATATAATTCAATTAACTCTTTTTGCAAAACAAAAAATCATTTATTAAAATGTTAATGATCGAAAATAAAATTGTATTTGTTAATTATAATGAAAAGTTGCGCATTTGTGCCACTAGTCATTCCTCCCACTTCATTGAAAACGATCCTTATTCTCAATTAAGTAATGTGCCAGAAAATAGAGTGGGTCAGAGGGACGCTCATTGGCCACAGCCTGTAAGCCAGCCACTAGAATGGGTCCAACTGCTCTTTTCAAATAGTCACGACGTGAAGTGAAGTCCCTACGATGAATTGGAATTCTGGGACTTTTCGGTCCAAAATCGAAATGACAATCTGACTCTGGTTCAGACTCAGAGGTAGACTCAGAGGTAGAAAGAGAAACACTTTCACTCATTTTGAGTAACTAATCAAACTTAAATTGTGAGAACAATTTTTGAAAATAATTATATAAAATTTTTATTTCATATAATTTTTTTTTAGTATCACTGATTACTGTGATTATGGAAAAATTCTACTTTAAGGATTGGGATGTAGTTTAATTTTCGGCATATTTGTTAGTTTGATTAGAAACCTAGAAACTAGAAGTGTGAAATAAAGAAAATAAATCAAAGCAAAATATAAACAAAAGTTGGTTTTTCCAGTAACAATAATCCATAGTCATAGCATTGTAGCTATATCCATACATCTACTACTTCGAAGCTTCGATACTATGGAGTGATATTCATGGATGAGTATAACTGCGATGGTCAGATGACCGTATGGCTCTGCTTTTTGTTGTTACTGGTTTTATTATAATTTTTCAACTTTGAAGCCCGATATCTCGAGAACTAAGTTGTATTGACATGTAGCGTATTGGACGAAGTTAAAGCTGGCTTTACTTAAATCCGTTTTCAAGTAGGTGTGCCCGGGATCTTATTGTAGCCAAATATTAATACAAACACACTTTTATGGAGGCGGTTCCGCTTCTGTTCTCTTTTCCTACAGCCGTATATATACATATATATTAACGGGCTCATGCTGTGAACTTGACAAACTTGTTAAGAATTGACAATTATTCACCGTCTTGATTATTTGTCAAGGTTGTTCATTTGTCAGGTTGTTTATTTAGTATTCTGTGTTATAAATAAAATGCACTTTTCTTGACAAATTGTCAAGATGATAAATGCTCTTGACAAATAAAATATATAGTCTTTACAAGCATTTTTATTGTTATTTGTATGCATAAGAAAGTGCTGCAAAAATATAACAATAGTAATAAAATAAAATTTAATAAATATAATGAAAATTTAATGAAATTCTGAATGACATTTTTAGTGATTTTAAGATTAGTTATTAAAGAATTGTAAAAATATAACAATAGTTTTGATATATCTATATGCATAATAAAATTATTTTTTGTTTTTATTTGTAATCTATTAAATAATAATATACCAATCGCATCATGTCCTTATGCTACTTTAGATTATTGAGCTCGATTGTGTTTGATAAATATATTTATAACATTTAGATATTGTACACAATTACTTAATAATAGGTTAGGTTGTACCGGTGATTCCTAGTGGATCCACTTAGGACTATTGGCCCATTGTGATATACTTAATAATAACTTAACATATAAATGGGAGGTGTAATACATGTAACTTCTTAAGTCTTCTAACCTCATCGGCCAGGTCTAACAAAGTTATAGCTAATGGGTTCACGTGTTCGCTTAGTCTTTCAAGTTATTTTGAGGTATGATTTCTTATTGTCTCTTTTATGTAAAGGAATAACAATCTAAATAGCATAAAATAACTGAATATAATAAGTAGTCCGCAGACTACATTTGATTTTTGTACACAAAACGCTTTTCGCCATAGTGTGGTGAAAAGCACTAGATACTTGAGCTTTGAAATTTGTCAAGATTTGTTTAGAATAGCAAAAAGCTTTTTGCTTGATAAAAGTCTTGACTAATTGTCAATACTTGACAAATTTGTCAAGTTTACAGAATACGAGGTATAATATTTAATTGTATTTATAAAGATCTATCAGAAAATTTTTATTTTCAAAAATGTCGAACTCGGCTAATAAGAAAAAATTACTTCCTTTGTATATATAATTTATCTTCTATATCTTTTAGATTTATGATACTTTGAAAAAAGATTTTATATAGATAAGTCCCTATAACTGTTATATAGTAGTAATTGGTGTATTGAGTTTAGATTTGTAAGTTCCATGAAGGTAGTTGTTATATTAAGTTTATCTTTTGCTATCAATATTTTATTATGTTTGATAAAATAATTATCTGTAAGAAAATAAAGTCTCTAGTCTACTGTAAAATTGTCAATAGAAAAACACCATAAGTTGCCGATTTTATAAACTTATTTTCTTTTTGGAAAATGTTCCAAATATTTAAGCAGTTACAGAGAACTACTTTGATCAAACAATAAATAAATAATAAAGTATCTATTTTAATTATTAAATATTTTCAAACAATAAAACCTAATAATCCAATAGCTAATATAGCATAAATTATTCCTAAAGATCCAAAAGTTTCTTTTTTTTCCTGATTCTTGACTAATAATATGAGAAATTATTTCAAATTCTAGGAGAATTAAAATATAAACTTCTGGGGGTCCAAAAAATCAAAATAAATGTTGCTATAAAATTGGGTCTCCTCCTTATATTATTATTTATATAAACATTATATTAATATTAATATTTATATATAACAATATTTTTCCATGTCAACGAACTAAAATTACTGTTTATTTATTTTTGAATAACTTTTTAAAAAACTAGAATAAAATTATATATATATTTGCTTTGAAGATAAACGAAATGCTTAACTGTTAGTATATAACAGCATTTTCTGAATAATTAATAGACTAATTGCATATACTACGTTATATGGTACATAAAAAGAAAAAAGTAATTTTCTATTAAATGATATTTGAAAAATATAAATCAGTTCTCCTGTCCAATCATTTTGTTGCCATTATGTTAAACACAAGTTAACAGACAAATACGTGTAGCGAACTGTTACGCATATTCGATGTGAATTGCTGCTATAATTAATGTTAATTAAATCATGGCTCAAATATTACCGGTGCCCCACACTGTTGTTTAAATTGCCTTTATTGTGTGCAGAGTCCAAAGCATTCATGTTAATAGCAAAGCAACTACGTTATGCTGGTGACGTACTCTGTTAAGCGTTTCTGCTTAACGGCGCTGTTACTTGCTTGTGTCTTGGCCAGTTTAACTCAGCCGCACAACGACCCGTTAGACACATTTCAGTTTTTGTTGTGAACGGTCGTGCGACTGAAGTGTGTCGCCTTGAGTCAGAGAGTCTAAGCGGCGTGTTTTGTGTTATTTACGAGTATTTTTAGTTCTTGGCGGATTCCGAAATATTTTTAAAAATTATTTCTAAAATAGTTTTCAGTGTGTTTTCTAAATTAGTTTTTATTTTAGCAAAATTGTAAAACTATTTGAAAAAGAAAAAAAAAACAAAAATAAAATATTAAAAGCAAATAAAAGCAAATAAACAAATTAAAATACTAAATAAATTCTATTCATTCTATGTGTTGTCTTGTCTAAATCTTAAGAAAATAAGATAAATATAATCTTTGTCTAAGATTAAAATAAAATTATTTATTCAGTTTTATTTTTGTGAAATGAGATCATTTGCTTCTGGCTGATTGCATTGAACTTGTCCGCAACTACGTCGGACCGCTTCATTAATCAGGGCAGTTCACACTAGCCAAATCAGGTAATATATAGTTTAAGCCTTTTATTCTCCATTCTATGGATTGGGTTTATAAAACAGTAGCTATTAAATTCCATAGATTCAAAATGTGTGATGTTAATTATTAGTTTTTAATTAAAACTCGTATTAATTTATGATAAGTTGATTTTGTATTAAAACATTTTTCTACAACGTTGACGACAAGTTTTTATAACGAAATTGTATCTTTATATGATCTGTAGCTGATGTGAAATATAATATATATATGGTTAAGGTCCAATGAGCAATGAAAGTTAACTGAAAGGTGAAATACACCTTTTATTAATTACTTTAATTGTTTTCTAGATACGTTCCGTAATACTTAGAGAATGATTTTTTAATATAAGAAATAAAAATATTGTATAAAAATCATAACGAAAAATCAATAAAATAAACTTTGAATGTTTAAATTATTTTCTAAATTTAAAATTCAAGGAATTAAAAATTTATATATTGAGAAAAATATGGTTCTCCATAAAAATGAACAGACATTTTATATATGCAAAAATTAATTTAGAACCAATATATTTTACGAACCCTTTTAAGAGTAAATAGGCAAATTAGACATCAAATTCAAGAATACATTTAATACATACCATAGATTAAAACTTAGCTAATTGGGCAATGAAAAATAATACACAACAAATAAAATATTTTATAATTTAAGAGATGACTATACCTTCTGCTCAAAAAGTATCCGGATTTTGTTGTTTGTTAACTACTCCTTAAGTAATAAAACTTTTTCAAAATTTTTTTGTTATGTTGGTACATCCTTTCTTGACATATGGTACAAATTTGAGCGCCATCTGTCAATTAGTTTGTTTACAGCAGCTATTAGTGTGAGACTACCTCAAGAGCATTTAGCGATTTTTACAATGGAAAATTCTTGTTGTACGCGATTTTTTGACCAAACACGGCACCATATTCGTCAGATTTGGATCCGTGCGACTTTTTCCTGTTTCCGAAACTCAAATTGCCCCTTCGTGGTAAACGTTATTGTGTTTGTCGTACAGTGTTACAGTTAATATATATTAATATATTATTATATATTATATAAAGTAATGTTTATTTTATATTAGACAAATATACAATAGAACAATAGTATACAAATTTATAACATTTAATAATTTCCAAATTAGATAACAAAATAAGTAGTATAACCTTCCTGGCAGTGATGCATAAAAATAAGAAATGTCTAGGTAGACATCTTATATAAAATGAAGAAATAAAACTCGGTAAAGTAGATGCATCACTACAATTTATCGATAAATTGGACTTAGAGAAATAATCTGAATCCATAAGATAAGAAAGAACAGGGTATTAGCTCCCATTTGAGCAGAGTACCGCAACCATGATTGATCTTTTGTGCTACAACAGACCCTAACTGAACAAAAGACATTCCGCCTTTCGAATGAAGGCCAAAATGTCGGTTGTTGAGGACCTCCTAATGTCGGAAGGTGCTACCAATTCCCGACCCAGTGATCTACAATCTATCTCTTCGGATAGGCTGAATCCATGAAGAGAACATAATAAATTTCAAGGGTGCAGTGTAAAGTACTTCAACTTAGTGATAAAAAATATTCATTTTATTTATACAATTGTCTATAGACAGTCAATACCTAATAGGATTGAGTTAAGACTGCACACTGTAGGTTGTAGACTGTGAAGAGAATGAGGAGTCGACCACACGTGTGCTGTTAGAATGTCCTGCGCTAATGCATATACAAACTCTGTAAAATAGGTTATAACTACTTTTTATTGAAGCAACTGGGCTTACAAACCTACTCTAAGCACAGAAGGGGGCACAATAGACCCGATGTTTGCAGTGCCACATCCTTTAACAATAAAAATAAGACTGTACCACTCGATTAACCTTTGTACACTACATATTTAATAAGTTTAGTGTGGGAGCATGTCGAGTTTGTTTAGACAGAAATAGAAACTCATCTTATATGCTATATCACTGCCAGCATTGCTCTGGATTTTTTTTAGGTTTTGTACGGGAGTTAAATTTGCAGTTCTCTACAAGATTCAGAGAATTCGTTTACGTTATATGTATTAAATTTATTGTTATTATAATAATAAATATTATTGGAAAGAACAATTATACATCCGAAAATATGTGATATATTGGATAATCACTGGATTTCTTTCGATTTCTTTTTTCTCAACAAAACTCAAATCAATGTACTGGAATTATGCTTTAAACTTAGAATGAGCTTCATTCCCATTAATAGAAATATAAAATATAGCAAGAGTTGTGATTAAACTTCATACTTCAAAACTATTACTGAACATTTTTCTAATGGAAATGTACTTTACATTCATCAGTTAGGAGTACTGCAAATTGCTATTTCTTCTTATGAAGCCCACGGCGTGTATTGATTCATAGAGTAACGCATTCGTCAATCAAATTAACTAAACAAGCAAAAACTTTTATGGGAAGAACCAATTACTGGGAGCATGACGTAAAAACTCCAATTAAAAATCAACCCAAACAAAGTTATATAATTGGCTTAATTGTGAATTTAGCAAAATTTACATGAACAGCAATTTAAAGTTTTAGTTTCCCTCGTGCCTCGTAGTTTCCCTCGTGCCTCTTCTTCATTATTACTAAAACGATAAAAATTACAAAAATTTTAAAAATGCTATTTTATGTCTTCTGTCTGTCATCATCATTATCTTGTTAATAATAATATGTAATAACAATGATAAAATGTAAATGAATGACTATGACTGCATTGGCAGTCTACAGGTTGAATAATCCATTAATCACTTGACTTCAAAGTCATTAAGGGCCAAAACCCTTCTGAAGAAGTGAACTTTTATATTTTAATTTTTTTTATACCACGAAGAGTAATTTAGTAATAAAAGATTTCCAATGTTAGGAGTAACTAATTTCAATATATATTTTATAAGAAGTTTATAAGATAAAATGCCTGATATTTACATAAATGTCTCTCAGTGGATTGACGGAGCACTGAGCCTGTAGCAAAGTTTTAAATGAAATAATAAAAAATTTGCTTAATAAAAAAGCAATTTGCAGGAATGAAAATATATAAAAGTAAAACGATCAAAAGATATGGGCTTCTAGAATACACCAGTGAAATGTGGAAACAAAGTCAAAGTTCCTCTGCATCAAAAAATAAAAAACTAGCTTGACTATAGCATCTAAATAGCATTTACATTACTGTACACCGCATATAAGTTCGCTTTTCGCACTAATGGTTCAGAAAGTGAAATTATATTTCAATTGTATTATTGCCTGAGTTTCCTTTATCAAGAAGAAGTGGAACTTATCGCTCACCTTCGATATCTTTAGCTGAACCAATAGAGTTAGCAGCTTTAATGTCGAGGAGACTGTTTCTTTATAGGTTTGATAGTGTGAACAAAATTGGACTAATCATATCTCCTCAATTTCATTTGAAAATCCAAATGGTTTTTCATAACGACGATAAAATGTGTACTTCCAATATAACATGATAACATAAACAATGGTTCCAGTATGTATCGCTTAATTCTGGTAACTTGAAACTTAAAGGTATTATAAGTATTATAATAGACAATGAGTCCATTGTGCAATGTTGGACATACACTCCGAGTGTAAGTGTTGGTATCCAAAGCTTAGACAAGCCAAGTGAGTTCAATGAATTTAACTAACATATATTTGTCATAGAAGTAATATGCTTATACCTTATTTTTTGAACAACATTATCAGAATTATTACTAGAATCAATATCTCGGAATTTACCTAGACAAGCGAGTTGCGAGTTGCAACGACATACACACATTTTTATAAAAAGAATACAGTTGGGAGTTAAGTTATACATATTTCTATTAGTTTCTTGGTCCAAACTCCCAGCACTTGCTTGAAAACTCATCACCTGGCATTCATATAAATATTGCATGGTATGTTGTAGTTAAATTAGATGTGGAATTTTTGCAGCTTTTGCTCAATTTGTAGTTGATGGTCCAGGTTGAAGAGATTTTGTTCTCCACTAGTTATTCTTATATATATCAAAATAATAACGTTTTTGTATTTTATGGCACAGATTTTAATGGCATGCATTTCTGCTAAAAGATTTTGGGCGTAATTTCCATTGAAATGGCTATGTTAATTAATTTTTTTTCAAGCCTTGATCCATTGGTGAACCAAAAGCTTAAAAATTTTGGGAGAAATTTCCATTGAAAGTGCTATATTAATTTCTTTATTTTTAAGCTTTGATCCATCGGTGAATGAAGAACTAGAAAATTCTGAGAGAAATTTCTATTGAAAGGTTCATTTATTTATTTTCGAGGATTAATTCATTGGTCAACCAAAAGCTAATAAATTTTGGAAGAAATTTCCATTGAAAAGGGCTATGTTAATTTATTTTTTTTCGAGCTTTGATCCATTGGTACACCAAAAGCTTAAAAATTTTGGGAGGAATTTCGATTGAAAGGGTTATTTTAATCTATTTATTTTTGAGCTATGACCCATTTTTGAGCTTTGACACTTCTTTCTTTTTTTGAAGAAGTTATAGGTAGAGGAGGTTGTCTCAATGTAAAATTGTTTGAAAAGTGATATGCAGGGTTATTACTGAAAGATTCTTCGTGTTTTTTTCAGAAAATATTTGATCGAAGTCAAAGTTATTTTGTCGACAAGTACTCGCTTGTTTAACTAACTAAATCTATAGTGAAATTATAAATAATTATATGAGTTTTTTTATCCAATTTTAAAAACAGGCGCTTTAAAGCGTTGATACCATCTACCAGTTGATATAATTATTTCTATTCTATCTCTTAAATAAAGTGTAACGGCGGAGTATTGGTTATTTTCCTGGAAGAGCCAAAAAAATGTTGGTATTTTCATGTGTATATAATGCAGAGCAATAGAACAAATTATTATTTGGGTTACATATCTTGATTGTAAGTTGATATGAAACTTACCTTGTCAGGCAATGCCTATTTCGAAATGGAAAACTCATGGTAAAAACTGTGGAACG